TAACATGACTAAGGCTATATGTACACTAAAGATAATTACAACAAATTCCATAAACACACTAAATGTTATACAGTACGCTTTCTTAAACTTCTCTTACCTACGTGAAGTTATAGTAATTTTTAGCAAAGGGTAATTTTCTCGTATAATAATTACAAACATCTAACTCTTGACCGTATCGCCATTAATAAACCGATATCCACTCAACTACTTCCCATGTGAAAAAAATTGATACCTCGCAATTAAATAATTGGCTGTCTAATTAAATGATTGATTCCAACTTTCATCTCATGGTCGAGCGATAGTTAAATGCCCAACCTAACAATTTTAACTAAAACAAATACGAAAAACCCGCCAGGACGCTGAACCGCCTTTAACACATGCATCTAAAAACTCTTGAGAACCGCGCTGAGCGAACCATGCGTGAAACTTTCACTTCGAAAATTAAATATGTTATAAGTAAGTAAGTAGAAATGATTATATGGTTAATAAATACGTAAAAGTGCGCCTGCAAATGAAAATTATATCCTTATTTGGGTCAGAAAATGTCGTTCGATCGACTCAATGTAATAGCCTATTACTAATAGGGGAAATTCACAAATACAAAAATTGTGAGTAGTTGATTAATATAATTATGCTAATAGTGTGTAAAATTGTGTCTTATAGATTATTGTTATATTCCTTTACTAAGTATATAAAGTAAAAATACATTTACGACCATAGTTTTACTCCCCTAGCCGAGACATTGCGACCGCATAAGCCAAAAATTTTGGAGTGTAAAATTTTTTAGCGGTAACCAATCCGTTTTACGGGCACTTAACCCATATTAAAATACATTTAGAAAATCAATTAGCACTACTAGCTCTCACGTATCGTTTATTTCCAACGTACACACGTATTACAACAACCATTATGACTGTAATGAATTACCTACATCGTGGCAGATTAGAATCTTCAACATCTGTTGGAATGAGATTCAGGATTGACATGGATTCTGATGGAGTCAAGGTTGGATTTGGCCAGCAGCGGTGGCAGCGGTGAGTAACGTTCGCAACGAATCGCGTCTATGATTTTCGATTTGTTTATGTTAGCGTGTCATTTCGTATTCATATTCAAATCGCCGTTGCGTTAAGAATGGTATTATAAAAAGAAAGTTACACGGTAGAATTAGTTATGGAGTTCGCTTTGTGGCCAATGCATATAACTAACCAACAAACGTGTTGAGGGCTTTACGACGTATTGCGCTCTACAAAATAACGAAATTGCTAGTCTGGAGTTGGGAGAATTCGAGAATTTGAATAGTACTTTTGAATGGGAATTGGATGAAGTTGGCAAAAGTTCGAATAAATCAAGTGGAAATTCTAATTGAAGGTCTAGCATTATCAAGGTTTCCAAAGCAAAAACTAAATGTCTATGAAGGGGTCAATGTTGTTATGGACTATTTTCACCGAGTTCATTACTGTAGGTACTAATAATTACTCGTAACTTCTAAGCTTCAAACTCGTGAATTTCCATTTAAATTGACTACATCACGTAGGACTGCGTGGAATACTAGCCATTAACAGATACTGGTTATCATCAGTTCTTGCGCAAAATACGGTATTTCGAGCGAAAATCTAAAAGTACCTAATTCGGAATATGCAAAGCAAACCAATAGAGAAAGCAGCAACATGTAATGCCTTAATTCCCGACACCAGAGTTGCATTACTTCACACCTACCTGCTGCGACAAAAACAATTTCTGATGTCACTTTTCATTACCAATTATCTCGTGTTAAAAAAAAGTTCAACGACTCGGTGAGGCCCAATCGAACGGGGCTCCTTAGCTAATTAAATCGGTTAAACGATGATTGAGGAACGGCGCGAGGCCTTAGTTAAAAGCAACCCGCAGTGATTGGTCGATTGGTCATGGTGGTTTCGTAGATTTTCGCCTCCCTATTGTCCGAGCTCGAGTTAATATTGAAATAACGTAATTGACCTTCCTTGAAAATTAGGAAACGACCTTTAAACGATGGCAAGAGGGAAGTAATTAATTTGTAATTGAATTTGATGATTTAATACGTTAAACATTTTCAGACAAAATATGATAAGAGACAAATTTTTTGGCATTCGATTTATTTCGATAGACGCATACAAGAATTGACAATTTATTTTTAGATTGAATTTAAATTGAGCAAATAACTTGATTTGTGGATATAAAATACATTAAAGTTAACGTCGATGTAAAATCGCTGTGGCGGTTATAGAACAGAAAATACCGTGAATATAATAGTCGCTTGTGTTAACATAAAGATCTTTTTTATGTCAACAAAACTATTAACACCGATTATAGTATTGAATCTACAAATATTAACTGTTTAAAATTTCGGGTTAATGTGTAGTATACCTGCGTGCATTTACAGACACAATTCATTCGAATATGCCCATACAATTTTGTGCTTTTAAAACCGTTTTTGATGCCGTTATATTAGACACTTTAAGTGCCCGAGTTTCTGTTATCCTATTTCTCCTATTTTTTCATCGTTTAAAATTCTTCTGCAAGTTTATGTGACATCAAACGACCGAGTTATCAATCATTTGCTCTTTATAGCCTCTACTGCTTGATAAATGTTCGCAGAGTTAATTCTAATTTATTAAACTATTTCATTAATTCATTGGTATATAATTAATTCGATGCTTTAACTTTTATTAGCAGTTACTTCAAAATTGCTCTTAATTTTTTATATGCAATAGTTTATACAAGTAATTGTGGAAAAATATTTTTTATTGCAATTGCACAAGAAAATGTCATTAAACGACCGTGGGTGCTTTATGTAGATTCGTTAGAAGCGACAGTAAAACAGCTCGAGAGGCTTAAATACACATGTAGAATGTTAATAGACAACGATACACCCATCAAGCAAATACGAACCTCGCAACCTTTCCTTCCCTTTGGATTCTTCTACCGTAACAATTCCCATGCAGTGTTGCGTAACCGCGACTACACCTGCTTTCTTATTTAATACCTACTCACTCCTCTTTAACATCAAAACTAACGTTATTAATGAATTAATCAGTTGATCCGAGTGTAAGCCTCGCTACGAGGTCCAAACTGAATGTTTAAACCTTAATACCTTTACAATCAATCAATACATTATAAGGATCTTTATTATAGTTTAACTTAAGTACTTAGGTCAATATAGGGAAAGGGAGCTCAATTGGTTCTTAGGCAGGTAATTGACTCTCTTGGGTACATAATTTACTCTCTTGAGTAGACAAGGGTTTTTTTTCAATTAGGTGATGGATTAGTTGTATAGGCAAACATTTTTTTTGAAACTCTTCTGAACCAAAAATATACCCTATGGTATATGTTTTGTTTATCCCTCGTAAAAACGCTGTAGTTAAATTTATTCTAATAAGTTAATTAGTTCTCAAGAAGATATTCGCATGCTTATTAGGTCAATGCTGAATGAATTAGTTTTATAGTCTGCTGCAATTGCGAAATGAAGTGCATTAATTCGGAATAGTAGGTATTCCCACAGTAAAAGAAAGCCGTTCGACGAATTTTGTATTGTTCCTTTTTGCTTACTTGCTTCAAAGAATACTAATGAATTACGATTCTGAATTTACTCATAATAAAAACAACGTTTGTCGTTAACTTAATTCTTAATTTCTTAATTAATTAATCCTATTCTATTATTTAACTTAAATAGATTCGTTAATATGGAAATGCTCGGTTCAAAATTTCAACACGATGTTTATCACAAACATATTTTAATGAACCTTATCTCAGTGTGTTAAACCCGATGAAAAATTAATAGACTTACACAAAACATTGCATAAAATCACAAATTCAAAGCCATGCTAAATTCGACGCGTTACTCAACGTTTCACCGTCCTAAAATTACAATTAACGAGCAGCTGACATTCCGTAAAACTCACAAACCATGACCTAAGTTCACATGAACTTGAAAGAGAATTTAAAAAAAGAAACGGGCCGTTTAAAATATTCAAAAATATAAGCTACAATGAAGAGGATGTTAACAATGGCCGTACAAATAGGTTGATTTGCTAGGAACACAATGAGGTTGACGGATTAAAATTCCAATAGTGACACATCAAGGGCTCGAAAGGGAACAAGTTGATTTTCATGTTCACGCTGCTCGGAAGCGGGTATGAAACGGGGCTTTTTTGAATTTTTTTAACGAGGAAATATGTCATAATAGAATCACAATATTCTTAAATAATGGTTCGTTGCCCATTCTAGTTGTAGTAGTTTTTTTTAAATGTGTACCAACATATTAGATAACAGTGAAATTTAGGAAGAGGTAATAATTTGTTCAGTCGTTTTATTGATTTTGAAGGTTTGTTTTCAACATTTTAAGGAATTTATTTCTGTCGACCTTTTATTAAGGACAAGGTAATGAATTAAAAACCTCAAAAACATTACCTTTGATATTTGACTTCATTTTCTTAATTTTTTCGCAGAAAATCCGTTTCTGCTAATAAGCATTTTACCCACCATATTTTCATTAGAAAAGATTGCACATTAAATTACTTATTTATGAATTCAGCAAAACGTGTTCTTGGATTTATTTTGAATGCAGAAATATCAACTATTGCCTTTATAAGATTGTTTATAAAAGTTATCTTACAAGGGAAACCACAAACTCGACAAATTCTTTAATTCAAGCCTTTTTGGTAATATACTGCTGCAAAGTATTAATCCATAATTCATCTTTTAGCAATAAAATTACGCAAGTATGTGGAATTAACAATAGATATATTTTATAAGTAGTTTACCTTGATGTGCGTTTGCATTAACACGTTCATTAGTTGTAAACAAAAATCGAATATGAGAATTATTTACACATGTTCTGTAATCTCCTAATAATATTATTGCAATGCTCATTGTTTTTTAATAGGTAATTTTGAAATTGGATAATTTTTTGTGTCCAAAGGAAACTAATAATCGTATTATATTTATTGTTGGTATATTAACTAATGCTATGGTTTGATTTTCAGGAACGTAGATGCACGGAGGGACTCTGAACGATCGCAGGGCTCTCGAAAGAGAAGCCCTGCGTCATGTTATTAACCAATGGAACGCTAACAGATTGGATCTCTTCGAATTATCGGAACCAAATGAGGTGAGGCTTTAGTTTTTTGCTTCAATTTCGTTTCACTATTAATGTCTACGAGCCCATTAATATTTTATCAGTTTATTTATGCTATACTTCACACTCCTATGATAGTTACAAAAAACTCGTGAACGTTGATCTTCCCTTTTAAAGTTAAGAATGTGCGAAGAAAGTAGGCGATGAGAGACACCTCGCGTCAATTAATTCCTCAGATTTGTGTTGAAAGATGAATTTTTTAAGATAAAAAATAACGCTTCATTTGCGACTGCGAAATAGATTATGTACAGCGGGTTACGTTCGAATTTTTTTCAACGTTTTTTAGAGCGTGAAACACCTTGCGCACCTTGCCGAGGAGGCGTTTCTAAATCCTCGTTACAATCGTCAGGTACCCGGCCGAAATTATAATATCATTTCTCGAGTCGATTTTCGCTGTTCAACCGTCTCCTATGATATCTGGGACACAAAAAGCGGTACCTACTCGTCTAAGTACCTCGTTCACGCCCAGTTGGTTTTCGACAATGCGAAATAGGAATAGGAAGCCGGCAGAGAGACCTACCCATGCCGTTGAAGCGTGCTTCCCTTTCAAAACAAAATTAACAGCAAAAAAAAAACTACGGCGTCGGCAGTGTCGTGTTCCCTTTCTTTAACGTTACTTTCAGTTGGCGCGATAAGATCTGGGATTTATGGCGGCTGAATAGGAAAAGGATTTAAGATCATTTATTGTAGTCCATTAATTCTCTAGTCTAGATTTAAATGTTACAAACGTGTAACAAAGCGCGTGCTGGCTCACCGGATTGCCGGAAGCGGCTTTCTTTTTTTCGGGTGTGAATTTTCATTCTCAAAATAAAAGGGTGAAATAATTATCAAATAGGTGTTTCACACGACAATAAATCAGACGGGTCATTAAGGATTTCAATGCTTTAAATTGTGTATTTTCTTAATACTTTGAAAAATATATTCTGTAGTATAGGGAAAGGTGGTAAATTGGACGCGAAGAATGAAAAATACTCTGCTCTGCTCTGCTCTGCTCTGCTCTGCTCTGCTCTGCTCTGCTCTGCTCTGCTCTGCTCTGCTCTGCTCTGCTCTGCTCTGCTCTGCTCTGCTCTGCTCTGCTCTGCTCTGCTCTGCTCTGCTCTGCTCTGCTCTGCTCTGCTCTGCTCTGCTCTGCTCTGCTCTGCTCTGCTCTGCTCTGCTCTGCTCTGCTCTGCTCTGCTCTGCTCTGCTCTGCTCTGCTCTGCTCTGCTCTGCTCTGCTCTGCTCTGCTCTGCTCTGCTCTGCTCTGCTCTGCTCTGCTCTGCTCTGCTCTGCTCTGCTCTGCTCTGCTCTGCTCTGCTCTGCTCTGCTCTGCTCTGCTCTGCTCTGCTCTGCTCTGCTCTGCTCTGCTCTGCTCTGCTCTGCTCTGCTCTGCTCTGCTCTGCTCTGCTCTGCTCTGCTCTGCTCTGCTCTGCTCTGCTCTGCTCTGCTCTGCTCTGCTCTGCTCTGCTCTGCTCTGCTCTGCTCTGCTCTGCTCTGCTCTGCTCTGCTCTGCTCTGCTCTGCTCTGCTCTGCTCTGCTCTGCTCTGCTCTGCTCTGCTCTAAAAATTCGTTGCAAAGTTTGCAATGAATTCAAAGCTCTCCGCTAGTAAATATGCTAGTTTTTATTGCAATTATTATCCTATTGTTACGAATCGATTAGTCGCTCAGACGAACAAACGTTTATCGCATTTACAACGTTGGGTTTATTCATTGAACGGATCTCACAGTCATTGATACGGTTAATTGATTTACACCACTTTCTATTATTTCTAACGACCAAATCGAAATTGACGCCGAAACGGGCGCTATTCCTGCGGACCACGATGAGCATTTTGGCGTTTTCATAAAGAATTCGCCGGACCGTGACTCGACCGATTTAGTTCCCCGGAATATGCACGAATTCGATGCAAATCCAGTCGCTTTAATTCAATCCGTTTCGGCGCTTTCGCTTCACTTTCGACTTCTCGAACTCGATAAGTTGCCGAATTATTAACGGTAGTATTAGCAGCGGGACCCCTTTTTCCGTTGATCTTATCTAACATTTTGAGAATCTATCAGCAATCTACACCTAGTAACGATACTTGCATATAAAAATTCGATCACATCACGCAGAAGATTGGGGTATCCCGTGTCGGAGTCGCATACGTATCGCCTTACATTTTGCCGATGCGATACGCTTCTCTTACGGCTTACGATTACGGATAACGTAAAATAAAGTGAGGACAAAGCTGTGAACCGAGTCGCCACAGCCACGAGGTCAATGTTCTGTCTCTACCTTGCCACTTCTATCACTTAGTCTCTAACCTACTATTCGTATTCGAGAACATACTACTGCTTACTACGTCTTGCCACCTAAGGAATGGAGGTTTGTAAACTGCCCATAAAAAATAAGGAGTCAATTAAACGGTGTAATTATGGGTTACGTCACGTTTTGAGGTATGCACGGTCTTGAGCGTAGCTTGCTGGATCTTCGTACAATTGTGTTATCATCGTGAATTCGAGTTATCGCAGGATTACATGAATGGGATTGTTTTTTGAGATGTTGGTAATGTTAGAATTCCAATTTAATTAACGACTTTCGCCGTTACAAGCAACACCTATGTTCTTTAGTATTCGTTTCAAGCGTTGGTGTTAAATTCAATTTATTTGTTCTAGGAAAACTTCCATACCTTTTCCTCAACTCACTTACCTAATTGAATAAATGAAATTTAAAAGCTATCGATTTGGTTGCTTCCTTTTTTTTTGTATTTTTTTGTGGCAGTGTATACTTGCAATATTTAGTTCCATCTTCTATAGCAGGCTTTTAAGTGCTTTCTTTTTCAAGTTTAACGGCTGCGCTCATGAATAGGTGTAGGTATACTGTAACTAGACATACAAGGAAACTACTATGTATAATTTTGCTGAAAAAATATGTAGCAATACTTCGCTCTTAATGATAGTTTAAAACATATACGATAAGGTAAATGATAGATTTAAGAGGAAATGATCATTTATTGATAAATTAACAAGGGAAGTGAATGTGTGTCGATTGCCATAACACTTTTAACTAATAGGTTTTAGATTTAATTTACCAGGCATGAATACCTTTTGAAATAAATGCCGCTTTTATATATCATAAATTAAAAAATCAATTAATGTTAACATGAAGAATCGAGCGGATGTTTTAAAAAATTAACGTTGCCTTAATAGTGCACAAAGATGTTTTGATTTAGAAATTTTAGAAATGGTGTCATTTAGAGTTAAACTGATATATTGTTTTTAATTTAATGCAATTATTAATCAACAAATCATTAATGAAGATACGATTAATCAGTAAATTAGAACAATTTAAATGTATGTTGTTTATTGCTTTGTATAGTTTCATATTTAGTTATAGCATCAATTTCAAAAACATATTTTTACTAATAAAGTCTTAAAAAAATAATTGCAGTAAAATGTTTAAAAAATTACTTTAATTCATTATTTTTTGTATTAGCCAAATGTTTTATTAATAACTTATTACACTGCACTTTCTTATCTATTCATCGCCCGAGACATGGTTAATCTTGTCATAGGTAATTGCGATATCCACGATAATAATGTAGTTATCTCCTGAGATATAATGTACATAGACTTATCCATTTTGTCACGTTCAATAATTGATTTCGAAACGCGATTGTTACTACTATTGAAAAATTATTTGCTTCATCGAATATAAATAAATGAATTCGAAAATTGTTTATTTTAACCTTAATTAAATGCTGGAATCATACTAGTTTATTTGAACATCAATCAAAAAATCACTGTAATTGTAATTACCAAATCACCACAATGGGTCTATTGTTATTGTATAGGAGGTTTCAAAAAATAAAAGACCGGACAACCGGCATTCCAGTACTAACTTTTCAAATAGCATAATACCGTAATAATAATCAGTTTAGGAGCATGAATAAGAGCAGTAATAATAGTAATGATAAAAGTCTAAGTAAAGAGGCCATCTGCACTTCTCAGGAAGTTACGAATTTAGTGAATATAAATTGATTTATTAGCATCCAGAGGTTCTGGGAATGATCGAGATAATCATAACATTAGTATAGGGTGAATAAATCTTTTTTAGTTTTAATTTATACTCCACTGAATTCGAATTTGAATTCGTGCATTGTGTACAAAAAGAATAAGACGTTAGGACTTCATTATGATTTTATCAACTATAGGCTGATTACTTACAGACAACAAAAACATTTTTCTATTAACGGAAGCTTTTTTCCTAATATATCAATTTAAAGTAAAGAATTTACTTGTGGATTTTTTTTATTTCATTGATGCACAAGATGAGTTTGAATCTGATTCACCAGGTCAAGTAGGCAAGCAGCAGCTCTTCTTTAATTTAATTACATCATGTTAACGCCGGCGATAGTGGTTCTACGAACAATAAAAACATTGCTTTGTTAACTTAATTCTGTGTTAACTACCGGACTAAACTTTGAGCGAAAAATTTTTATTCGCCCACTAAGATTGTTGACATTGAATATTTACAACGAAATTTACTGTTAATGACCACAAGTAATTGAGATGTAATAATAAAATGGTTGTTTGGTTTATCCAGAATTAATATACAGGGTGTCGTACAAAAAGCTTTAAGAAATCACTTATAAAAACCTTAAAATTTATTAAAAAAATGAAGAATGAGTTACCAAATTTGGGAAGAATTCAACAATTCAAACGTTTTTACTTTATTATCCATTCTGTATATTTATGTTACACTCCAATTTGTAGATAAATATATTATTTAGTTTCAGAAGTTTCTAATAATTTGGTGCTACCATTATATACTCATTAAAGTAATACAAAATAGTAATAACAAAATAATTTGGACCGGAAGTTCAATTAGTAGTCATTTTTTTTAAACAAACTTCTCATCAGAATTGTCCCGAAAAACAGGAATACAGGAATAAAATTTTGAGGGCAGATGCACTAGCGGTGAAAATTTTAGTTTTATTCGCAGAAACCGGGGAAAGCTTTCATCAACGCAATATTGCTAAATGCAGAAAACCGTGATGGGAATGCCTTGCATGCGAGCCGAGGAATGTCGTGAATTTTAATTGGTGTGTTATTAATTTTAATTATTATAATAATGGTGTAGAGAGGATGTGATACAGTCACTTCGCGCAGATGCAAGGTTACGTCTAAACGGAGAAACTGAATGAATGAGTCAAGTGAAACTGTTTAAATTTAGCTATTGTAGTAAATAATTCGTTTAAAAATGTATCTAGAAATCGTTCGAAACTAATTGGGGTCAATTACTATTTTTTTCATAAAGGCTTTTAGTAATACAACGTTTGGTCATAAAAAATGAGTTGTTTCAGGTTGTGAAAACACAAGGAAATTACTTGAGCGCAAAATACTTATTAGGCCCGTTGACTGATGGAAATGGACCATTTGGTAATTCATTTCCTTCGATTTCGCCCGGCTAATTAATTTTAGCCTCCCGAAAAAATAAAAATATTTTGCCTCTTTACGAGCTTTATGAGGGCAACGGACCAATAAAGAAAAAAAGTAATTCGGTTCGAGAAAAAAAAACGGCAATCTGGCTCCCAGACTTCATCATTTATAATTATTTGTACTGTTTGTAAACATCAGAAAAGGAAACGTGAGGTCCAATGTAAACACAACACTTGCTATTTATAACACATTACTCATAATTTTCTTTTTATAAATAAATTTGGCGTATTCGGTACTACTTGTCTCTCGTCTCAAACACCTATTACCTACAATGTACAGGGCGTCCCGCATTAGAAACTAAACGTGAAATATTCGGAAGTTTCGATACCTCATTGTCCCATCCCATCAATACCAGAGGTTATTAAAAAACCATCTTGTTTCAGGACCTCGAATTTCACGGCGTCATGCGCTTCTACTTCCAGGACTCCGGTCAAAAGGTGGCCACCAAGTGCATCAGGGTGGCTTCCGATGCGACCGTCGAGGACGTCATCGGCACCCTGGTGGAAAAATTTAGGCCGGACATGCGGATGCTTTCCGTACCTTGTTATGCACTGTACGAACTTCACGAAGGTTGCCCCGAAAGGAAAATGTCCCCCGACGAAAAACCCCTTCTGGTGCAGCTTAAATGGCACGTGGACGACCGCGAAGGGAGGTTTCTCCTGAAGAACGTAGATGATGACAAAACAGTAAGTTCTATTTTGTGATTCAATTTTACAATCAAATTACATTTATCAATTTTTTTTTAATTTTTGCATTTTTCATACTTTATTAAAATATTTCCATCTCCTCGGAATTCGGTCGTGATAAATAATATTCACTGTTTTGAACAACCTCTTATCGTATTATATTATACAGTTAAGTAATAGAGATAATAATTTATTATTATATGACTTTAATTTCCTCAATTATCTGCGATTGAAATGATAAGTATATCTAAATTACCATTAATTATTTATTTAATTGAAAAATTCATACCAGTTGTCAACTTGTATCTGGTTTTGCAATTACTTTGTTTCCCATGCCTACAGAATCCAGGATCGGGTTTATATGAAATTAAAAATACAAATTACCATGCTACCCTACATTTCCTGTAGTATTCTACACGACATTTCTGGTTAATAACCTTTGTTTCTTTGTCTGAAAATGACCAAAACAGTTTAGTGCCTTCCTAATCTTTTTCGAGCGGATTTAGCAGTATCTTTAACGAAGAGAACATATTTTTTTTCAAAGCGCCTTTTACAGGTAAATACTATGGGGCCTCTCGACACGCACGCCAGTTTTAGACGAAAATTATCGAAACGAGAAAAGAAGCAGCTAAAGAAGCAAGAAAAAATGTCGAAGACGAATAAGATAGAGAACGGCGATGTTCACGATCAAGACGGCGTTGCCGAGAAGCTTTATACTGGTAAGGGTGTGAATTAAACGAAGTCGTACTGACGTAAATTGAATTTATTTTTATTTTTTTTGAAGAGTTACCTGAAACATCGTTCACTAGATCTATATCGAATCCTGAAGCTGTTATGAGGAGACGGAGGCAAATAGAGTTAGAAAAGAAATTGCAGCAATTCAGATCGAAAGACGGCGGACCAGATACGGGTAAGACTCTTCATTATAATTATTAAAAACGAGTGTTTAGTGTGGAATATTTTTTTAAAAGCGTAGCAGAAATTTACAAATTAAACGCTGCACCTTATTTTAGAAAACGCCTTTTGTTAATTACAGTGTCAGTTATCTGAACAAATACAACCAAACAATGCAATTTAAAATATACACGTTCCATTATGTTGATTTCTGTTTTGTTATAGTCCGGCATTTCGCAATTCACAGCTAACTGTACCAAACGCGGCGTTGTACTATTGTTAATTAGTATCGTAATTATGTTTCTGATCTTTCCTAATTAGTCCGCATTTGCGCTTTTTCCTTTTAAAATTTAAATTAAGCAAACGCGCGTTTCCTTTCCGTACCAGACTTTCGATTTCGCAACCGTTGACCATTAGAAATTAGCGCTCCGCATTTGCATTCGTGATTACTCATTCTCGCAGATTGATTTTAATTGCCCATCGGTGAAACGATTGGGTCGAAAATCCGATCGGACGAGATTCCTATCGGTTTTCTGAATCGGAACCAGATTAATGACGAAAATGCGGGTCACGAAACGAATCGAGAAAATGCGAGACGTTCTAATCGCAGTGGTTTAAAAAACTGATGCAGCAGAAATATGCTCCTTTTAAGCCTGTTAATGCGATGTATCTGTATGAGTAAATAGGGGGAGTTTTTTTACTCTGCGCCCGTCTGGTTGGGTTATATTGTTATAACAGCCACCTGTTAGGGCTTATTGTACTTATATCATTGCTGCATTTAATCCAGCGTATGTGTGCTAATTTGGACCTCATTTTGTGACCCTTTAAAATAGCCCAATGACAAAGTAGTCCAAAAACAAAATTGTCTAAGACAAATAAGTGACCTGACAAAATAGAATATGATAGAGCTGCCCCAACAAAATAGCCCAAAAACAAAATGCCCAAATGACAAAATAGCCCAATGGCAAAATAGCCCAATGGCAAAATAGTCCAATGACAAAATCGACCAAGATCGAGTTGCTCTGACAAAATAGCCCGAAGACAAATTAGTTACAGTAGAGTAAAATTCTGCTAAATAAAACATGTAAAATAATTACTGGTGTAATAACGAATGAATTGTTTCTAGGTGGTACATTAAAAATATACGGCGAGGCCCTTTGCAAAGACGTTCCGTACAAAACTCTGTTGTTATCAGTGCGCGATTGTGCGGGGACTGTAGTGCGACAAATGTTAGAAAAATACGGTTTCACCAAAACTGACCCGTCTCAGTGGTGCCTCGTCCAAGTGACCCAGCAGCCCGGCTGTCCTGATACGGAGTACATACTCGACGACGACGAGTGCCCTTTGAACATACTGATGAGTTCGCCTAATACCGGTAAGTGATTTTGTTATCGTTAAATTTTTGGGTACCTACTAGAAGAAAAATAAAGAAAATTAATCGGTAATGTACCGCCCACGTCGTTAAATACAATCGGTATTGCAATTTTATTGTAGCATAATAATCAAATGAAAAGCATTGAATGTTTAGGTGCATGTATTTTTATTATCACAGGTGCATTATATTCAAATGGGTTTTTAAAAATCACTTAATTTTAGCCCTGCTGGATGTTGACTGGCTCGTAAACTGTCCCGTACAGTTACATAACAGTACCTTTAAAGATTATATTTGTATTTGCATATTTGCTTATTAACTTTTTTTACAAATTCGAAAAAGTTTACAGTTTGAATAAGTGTTGCCATCCTCGCGCGAATTCGATAATATTATTCACTCGGTTAAGAAGTTCTGCGATTTCATTATTCGAGCGCTTTACTACCAGTCGAGAGATGTCGCTGCGCGTTTCATTCATAAAATAACACTGTTATGAATGAATTTTTATTTAAAATTTTTTAATACTATATTTACCTAAGGGTTTCTAAGAAATTAATTGATAATTACTGTAATATGAGTAAAATAAGTAATAAGTATATTTAGCTAGGAATGTCTATTTTTGTGGCATATAAGGTGGATTGTTTGTGTTCTATAATTATAATCAAGGTAGGGCATTACCAGGTAATTAAATTTTCTATTAATTCTATGGTTTCGTAAAAAATGTATTTTCAGAATAAGGTTGGGTATATACTATTTTCTCTTACGTTTATAATATAAGAAATCGTATTTATCGTCGCACTTACTAGCTCATAATAAAAAAATAATCAATTTTTAAATCAGTTGAACAATACTATACCTCTTTTCATTTATAATTTACCTTTGGGCATGGGGAAAGTTTAGTAGGAGAGCTTTACCATTATTCTTTTTCTTCTCCCTTATTAAAATTTAATGAATCGATAAAATATTCATACCCACTTACTTAAAAGGAAGGAGATTTTCTCTTGGTTTTTTTATTTTCCATCTACATAGTTAGCTCCAACCCGAAGCACTACCATAAAAACAGAATAAACGCGATTTTTCGGTTGAAATCTCAAGTATGACAAATTCTTTGCGACAACAATTGTTCTGTATTCGGATTTTTTTAACGATAATTTCCGTCGACGACGAAACGACTTGAGTAACCATCGTGAGAGAATAACCCTGTAGTTAATTTGAAAGAAATATAACCAGTGCAAGTGGGACAACAACCTTTAAAGAACACAATAGGCTACGCAAAGACTATGAAGTGGTTCATTATAATGAGATCAACTAAACAGGACTTTTCGTTTTAAATTGGGGTTTCAACGTGCGTAATAAAAATAACATTATACATAATGTTGTGTGACGTTGAAGTGAGTATAATAATAAAAAAAAATGTTCCTATTCCAACGAATCGATTTGTCGGGTCTAAAAATAGTGTTTACAAATAAGACGTAGATTTTATACCTATAAAATAAGAAGTAGGTTTCATTAAATATTTAGATACTGATAAGGAAAAATTGCACTCCATTCACTATAAATTATCGAATGAATTTATTGAAGTGTACAAATCAACATGACACTACTGAGACAATATGTAAGGGGGAAAACCATGAACAAAGGACTAATTTTCTTACAGGCGTGTGCTTATCAACATTTGAACAAAGTGGCTTGAATATGACGAATAAATATTAGATGGATGTAAAACGTTCTCACATCTGACTAACAATGGTCAATATTTCATCTACATAATATCCAAGCCGAAGAAATATAATGTATTTTATGCCGGCTTTTGACACGTGAAACATGACGAAATGAATGTGTTGTTTGTTTCGATTTATATGGAAATTCGTACTTTGAATGCTTCTAAACATTGAATCGTGTTTTTTAAACTCGGTTGCTTAAAGAGCTATTGCAAAATTGTTTGTTTCTTAAATGGTGAAAAAGAATACTTAAGAATAACCTAAACGAAAATGGACTATAAATGTTAACTGAAGAACAAAATGCAATTTCACTTAGGCATGTAATTATAATCCACTTTGCGACATTTGATTTCAGTTGAATTTGTTCCGGCTCATTTTATTTTGTAGAAACATTTTTTACTGACGCTTCGTTTGTACTAATTTTTGATTGTTTCCTCTTCCTGCCATCGTTTTTATTGTTTTGTACCGTTGCATTTAACTAGTAAGTCAATACTACACCTATAAGTTTCATTATCATTACCTAAACAGGCACTACACAAAAAGCTTAATTAACGAATCTATTTAAGAGTTTTTGTTTTCGCGGAAATTAAACCAGGACTGACCTAAATATTTACCAGCAATAACACGACATTTTATCCATTTTATCTAATTAACCGCCTATTGATTTTCTAATCTCTAGAAAAAAATTAAGCGCGATCGATATTTTGTATATAAATAAATGTGCAACTGGTATTCATCCCCGTAGTATATGCGACTAAAAATCAATCAGTCAGAAAGAATCAGAAGGACACCGCTTTAAATATGTATAGACAAAACCGAAGGTTCTCGGAATCAGTAGGTTTGTTTTAGTGTTGTGTGTGCCAATAAATTTTAATAGAACAATTAAGTAAGTTGTTAGAAGGTATTATACACCTAAATAATATTTTAAATTATTAACTCCCTAATAGCAAGTATTGATTTCCAAGCCATTCCATTATTTACTATAATTTATATCGATTGAATCAATAAACAATTAATAAATGTTGATAACAAGAGGCGTGCATGCAGAATTTATAATGTTTCAATGATTATTTAAATGTATTATGTCTCTAAAGTTCAAAAAATGTAAAAGGGTTTATGAATATTTTAGTTTGGTTAAATTTGATGTGGTATTAGATTCCGGTTTTACTCAGGCATTCTAGTATGCATTTATTATTTATATTACAAACGTGTAGCCATAAATCCAGTCGATTAGATGCAGTTGGGGTCTCATAAATTACTATAGAGCATTAGAAAATCCAGCTCAATGTATTATTGCATTATTTCCAGTTTTGGAATCTGTAATATTTAATGAAATAAGAAGTAATTTCGACAGGTATAGCAGATGTGTGTTATTTAAATTTAGTAAATTTTCATATATGTATTCCGCGACAAAAAAGTACCCGGAAATTTGGAATAAAATGCGAAATTCCTAACCTTTATTAATATTTCTTGAGTGTTCTTCAAAATATGCTTATTCTGAAGCGATACACATAGTCAAACGCCTTTTCCAATAATCGCAAGTTTTGGGCCTTTTTTGATACGGCTTGTAGCTCCTTTTGCAAATTTTCTTTGGTGGCATTTATGGAAACAAAACAGGATCCTCAAAGTGGCAATTTGAGCTTGGGAAATAAAAAAATGAGCATCAAATTCTCTGCGAATTGTAGTGCTCTGCGCACTGCTGAGATGAACTGATTTAATCAGCTACTACAGCCAAACTGATTGAGAAATCTCTCTAATTTTTTGCATGTTAGTTAACAATACAATAGTAATAACTATATATACAGAAACTTGAAATAGTTAAAAATATCAAGTGCAGGTAATTTAAATCAGAATTTTTTTTGTATACTTTTAGTATACGAGTTATAGTTTTAATAACTCAAAATAAGTGTAATAACTTGAATAAACAATATTTTTACAAACTCTGTACGAGTATTATAGAAAAGAGGGTAAAAAATCGTTTGAAACTAGAGAAGACTCGATATCCTGTTATAAAATTTTTAACTTTGCAAATTATGACTCCTACTAATATGTGCCCATATGTATTATATTCCTGGACATTGCATAAAGACTGTTAAAACATGTTTGCTAACATTAGTTTAATTTTTTTTGGTTTACCCACCTACATTTCTGCATAAAAACAGAAAAGTTCAACTGTTTCTGTACAAATCCGACCATTCAGACCAGTTTTTATCAAAATCATTTAATCCCAAATCGCAACTTTCGCGGATTTCCAAAAAAAGCTACCGCAACCAACTCCACCGTTGCCGAGCGAACTTCCAGCAGCATTATCCCTACTTCAACGAACGATGCAATAAAACTTTTTATCGCGATGAAAACCTCTTCTTCGCGGCCGACCATCACCGCCCTGTAAGCCGTAAGCATCTCCTATCATCCACGATAACCCGTCGCGCAGCCGGATCCGCGCATACCGCCGTCCCGTTTCTAACCAAACGGAGAAAAAGACTTTCGCCGTGCCGCCGGTATACACGGTCGTCGGCCAGCGCTCGCATGTCCCGCGCCCGTGGCCCCAAACCAAAAGGACCGGCTCTCCTCTGTGCCCTCTGCTCGGCTGGCGTTCCGCGTCGTGTGCTTTTGTTTACGTTCCTCCCGTTGTCTAATCGGAGTGTCTGCGGTGACAGGTAACAGGAAGGGTACCATGGTAGTCGTCGTTAGGGGATCCGGTGTCCGGTGCGATTCGAGGTTCGGGGGTTGAACGTCGCCGGACGGTTGGGAAAGAAAATGTGAAGTTCGAAGATGATGGATTGGGGCATTAGACGTAAGTTTATTCATTTAATCGCTAATTTCGTTTTTATCGAATCCAATTACTAATTTTTTATCACCTGTTTATGACCGTGTAAGAATAGGCGATATATTGTCCATCAATAGGATTAACTACTTAATTAAATATAATTGAGCGCATATTAAACAAAGCCATTGTTTCGAACGAATTTTCTCCATTAAATAAGCAGGAATGTTCGGTTGCTATAATACATATTAAAGAACTCTTTAATATTAAAGAGTAATAAACCAGTAGAGTAGTACTTGCATAGAAAATGTTGGCGAATATTGCACTCATTCATGATTCAGTCGTGTTTCATTGAACCTGTGAATAAATCTTGTCTGAATCAAACACGTCGTAAAAGTTAAGAATCAGGAAATGATGAGACATTACAGAATATTGAAAATTGAAGAGACGTGAAGTAATGGAGGGTGGTGAGATTTGATTAATTTCTCTGTAAATTCTTCCTGACTTTCCTCAATAAT